GCCCCCCTTTCTGGGTCCATCATTTTTCACATCTTAAATCTCACCCATCACTATTCCCTCTTACCCAAGATCCAAAATCTGCAAATCCAATCTTCATTTCTCCAAATGATTCAGCTACTCTTTACGGTGATTCTATCGGAGATGCTTCTCATATTGCTCTTCTCCTTCAAAACCCCTTTGAGGAAGCTTGTGATCTTGACCGTCGATCGCCTGAAGCGCGGACGCGGTCCTATTATGGTGAAGACTGTTGCCGGAACCGTTCTTATTGTTCTGCTTTCCAGTGTTTACAGTATGGTTACGATCCGGAAGCGTTGGATCGATGACGGTGCCGTCAACCCCACCGATCAGGTTCTCATGGTCAAGCATCTTCTCGAGGCCACGCTCATGGGTAAGCCGAAACTTTTCATTTCTCTTGCGTGTTTTGGATTGAATTTTTCGACCCATATGGCCATTTAACTCAATTGATTTTTCTGTGCCTGAATTTGGCTTTGGCTCTTGAATGTGGATTGTTCCTAGAAATGATCTGTTTGAGAATAGTTGAAGAATTGGTTTGAGAATTGGAATGTCTTGAATTGATTGGATTTGCTTAGCTTCTGAAAGAGTATCAGTACATCTTACCCTGTTGCTCATTTGGTGTTGTGGTGTTTTGAGCTCCTTGATTTAACCTTGGTCACTGTTTCATCAGTGACATCAGCTCGTCAAAGTTTGTGGTTCTTTAATCGATCTGTTTGGCTATCTTTTTTCTCATTTTTCATAACTATAATGTGAATACAATCTATCTAACGGTGTGAAGACTCTGAAATGCATTGATTTAAAGATATTTTTACAAAAGGATTTAATATCTTTATTTCAGCTTATTAGTTAACTTTATCATGGTTAACAGAATCATCACAAGATGACTCTCTTCTTAGGTGATAAAAGCTTATTATTGGTTTTCAATGCTGAATGCTACATAGCACATGAATGGTGAGTTCTGGGGTTTACTGAACGAGGTGGACAATTTGGTTGCAGGGGGCTCTCTATTCCTGGCACTTATGATTGATAGATTACATCATTATATGAGAGAGCTGCGTCTACGGAGGAAAGGCATGGAAGCTATCAAAAAGCAGAGCAGAGTGATGGAGGACGGGAAAGTTAGCAAGTCGGAGGAGATCAAAGCACTGGAAGAAGAAGGTACCACCCTGCAGACAAGACTCAAACAGTTGGAATTGGAGCTTGACTCAAAGACCAAAGATATAACTACTTCAGAAGCCAATGTAGTTGCTCTAAGGAAGCAATCTGAAGGGTTGCTGCTCGAGTACGACCGTTTGCTCGAGGAAAACCAGAACCTTCGGAGCCAGATACAATCTATAGATCACAGATTGTCTCGATCGGGAAGCAAGAAGAATTCCTAAGGAACCCCATATTGCTTAATGAATTTCACTTCAAGCTTTGTGCTTCCATTTCCCCTCGTATTATTTAGGACCTAGATATTCCATGATGGGTAGCTGATGGCTGTTTACTTCTATATGCACAAAGGCAAAAGAAGATGGGATTTTTGGCTTGTTGTCTCTGTTTAAAGTAGGAAGGTAAAACACTGAAACAAGATTGGATTTTATTAAAAGGAAAATTTGTGATAAGTTCAGGTTTGTAATAGAATACACCTTGGCTGCTTCTGTCATTTTTCTGTGGCTGTTTCATTTTTCTTCATATTTTGCTTTAACCATCCATGAAGAATTTGGCTTCTGAAAAGCTCATTCTTGGGACATATCATTTGATTCGATGCCTTGAAATCATTTTGATGGAAAAGCTTGTAACTCTGTTTATTGTGGAGCCAGAGAACTGCAGCACAAACCAAAGGAAACCCCCTCAGATCCAAAATATGGGCGATTTGTGCTGAACCTGAGCATCATTGTTGTCGGCTTTGACTACTTTAACAGTGAAAAAGTTTGCGCGGACATTATTGTCGGCATGGCTTTGCGGTTAAGTTACATTTTAAAACAAGCCCTGATTTATTCTTTTCCGATGGCTCTGTCAATCAACTTCAAAATTCAAACTAGGCATAGACAAGTATCATTAATGCACAGAACTTCACGCTTTGATTTCTCAACCATATGCTTTACTTTCATGCACCACTCTTCGAATTAAATATGAACTTCATCTTACTATAAATTATGGGCAACTTTCGGTGACATTTTCGTCAATATTGTGATAAATCAAAATGAATTCATTATATCTAAAAGATGTAAGATGAACTGAACTGGCGGACAGAAAAACAAGAAGCAAAGAAATGACATAACATAAGTTGTTATTATTACAAAAATTAATAAAGTTCAATGATACAATCTGGCTGAAAACAGAGGACATAGGAAAGTTGATTTTTTTGCAACAATAATCACTGCTTTCACTAATACTAATATAATTTTGATCACCAGCTCCATTTTGAGTTGTCGTTGCCATGGATTCCGAGGAACAGGGCAATTCCAATTCAGAAATGAAATCTCTTTTTTCTCTGTCTTCTTCTTCTTCTTCTTCTTCCATGTCTTTGCTTCTCACTGTTACCCAATCTTCGTTGCTCTCCCAATTGGGTATTCCAAAAGACTGAAATTTGGACACTTCGCTCAGTTGCTGGATCCTCTGCAATGGCGTTCTGTAAAATTTTGGTCTGATCGGACTTTGAACTGTTCCCAAATCGTTCATCGTGTTCCATAATCCTTGCTCCAAAATGCTCGTCGGTGTTCTTGGATTCTGTTTGGGACGAGATTTCTGCTCGTGAACAAAAGGGTGTTTTAAGAGCTCACTTAAGGACCACCGTTCTTCTGGGTCTCTGATCAAACACCGCCGCAAAAAGTCCTTTCCCTGCTCCGACATGAATCTCGGAATCTCCGGCAAGTCATCGCTGGACCCAATTCTGTAAATGGCGGCCACTGGATCCGACAAATCCTCCCACGGAGCTCGACCGGTCACCATCTGGATCACAGTGCAGCCCACTGCCCAAACATCAGCTGCAAACCCCTGTTTTTCTCCACGTGCCACCTCCGGCGCCATGAATATCGGCGTTCCGGCCAAATTTCCACAGGAAACCTCCTCCACCCGCCGCGCGCAACCAAAATCCGCAATCTTAATCCCATCTTCACCGACCAAAATATTAGAACACTTAATGTCACAATGCACCACACCATTAGAATGAACATACTCGAGCCCACTTAAAACCTCTCGAGTATAGAATTGGGCCGTCGCCTCATCCAACCGGCCACCAGCCGCTTCCATCGCATCCAAAATCGACCCACCAGACGCAAACTCCATCAAAAGATTGCACATCAAATTCCCATTTTCCAACGTAACATCAAATCCCTTACAAGCTATAACACGCGAAGAATTCAATTGCGAAAGAATCCTCTGTTCCCTCTTAAGAAAATCCGAGCGGTCAAACTCAACTGATTTAACCGCCAGCAGTTGGCCAGACCGGAGATCAGTGGCGACAGAGACCGCGGCAGAGGAGCCGCAGCCGATTACCCGACCTCTCGTCCACTCCATTGAGAAACCAGAGGTGGGTGCGATGGATCAGATCATGAGAAAAAGAGGGAGCTTTTATATTGTAAATTTACAATGGTGGAAATCATTTAAAAATGGTTTCTTTGATGAGTAAAATTGAGTTGGCAAATTGGGTTTTTTTTAAAAATTGAAAATTGATGAGAACAAGTTATTCGGTTCTCTTTGGCTTGACCTTTCGGAGACTTTATCCCTTACATTGTAGCCAATGGACGGCCGCCGTCTTCTTCTTTTTGATCAAACCCAATTACAGCAGCGACAAAGGAGAAGGATAATGGCAACTTTTGAGCGGCGGTGATTTAGGTAATCTAGTTAATGTAATTGAAGAGGTTACGCCAATTCAAATTTTCACATGGCATCACATGCTCAGTTGATTTAATCACGTTGATTATGGTGCTCTTCATCTGTAATTAGTTGTAAAATAACCCATCGGAGAGGATATTCTTCCAAAGCTTTGTTTTTTAATTAATTTCCTTTTGGATGAGGAATGATGGGCATAATGTTTTGGTTGTAATTTAAATTCTTTAATCTAAAGAATGACCTTACCTTTCTTGAAGCCTTACTTTATGAATACTTAATACAACTGTAACTATAAATCTAAATCTCTCTCATTAATAATTGATTATGATGAGCCTAACACTACAGAACGATGCTTACCCAACCCACCTTATCCCTTGCCGCTCAATTAAATACTGTTTAATTCTTTGTTATGGGTATAATTTTGGTTCATGAAACCTAATCTTATTTTAAATAAGGGGTTTTCAAAGTTTTTGTTTTTCCTTTCCCAATAATGATCCAGTGGACAAAATTCGAAGCTTTGTCTGCGAGTTTTAAAAAACTGTTGATTGGAAACATAAAGAAAAAGAAGAGAATTGTTAGGTGAGAAGAATAAGCGTGAATTGAGAGAGGGTTATAGGTTACTTGAATTGGCGGCAAAGAAAAACCAGAAAAAGAAGGAAGGAAAAGCAAAGGTGGGGTGCTGGAGTGGAGGCAGCGTCAGGGTATCACCTTCTTAAAGCTTTTGAACTGTGTATCCTCCAACCAAAACCACGCAGTTCCCTTACCCTTAACCCATTTTTTTCTTACCTTTTGACACAAAAGTTCATCACACATCTCATCTGACTCACACCCCAGTCAACAACTATTCTATACACAAACGCATTTGAATGCTTGCGTACCCGCTCCTTGCGTCTGCATTAATCACATTCAACTGGCCTTCCTTTTCCCTCTTTCTCTGCTTACTTCACACTCTTTTACTTTCATCCTCTCTGCTCTCTGAAACTGCCCACATTCATTTTACTGACTACTATTCTCAACCCCATATCTTTTCTTCATAGTTCATTCCATCCTTAAAAGTCATGTATGAATGGGGACGTACCTTTTATAACGGTGTGTAAACTTTTTCTTTAACAGACGTATTTTAAAACTTTGAAAAAAAATACCGACAAAAAAGTCCAAAAATGACCTACAAATAGATCCGGTATTGAGAACCATATTTCACCAAACGATATTAAATCAATCAATGAGATGAATCATCATCTTAAAGAGACATGATTCTGAGTTTTAGGAAAATGCAAGAGAACAAGAAGATGGTTCCAGGAGGAGGAGGAGCGTCCATAGGTATGAATCCAGTGAGCTGCAGATCCCTCACCCATCTGGAGAGTGTAATGTTGCGTTCACAAGTAGGAACAAAAGATGCGCCACCAACGGTGAAGGGGCAGTAGGCAATTGAGGGATCCGTTCACAGTCAACCAATGCTGCAACCTGGTTCAACCCTTGATCACATAACTGCAAAAGCATGAAAGACGAGTGAGCTGAAGATGGATAATCGATAGATGAGTTAGATGGCAACAGAACTGATTCACCTCATTCACATAATCAATGCTATGTTCTCAGAGTTCTGTTCTGCTTCAGCTCGTCTTGCATCCGGGAGACCGCCATCTTGCAGGTTGAGCGCATAGCATCGGAGACACTGCCAGATGCTCTACCATCTTTCTCATTCAGCACACTCTCAGTTTTAGTACTGCTTTCAATCACCAACCGTGAGTTAATAAAATTGATCTTTTGTGCAACAGAGAGCAAAAGCAGTCAACAGATAGCTGAAAAATGACTCTGTCTTCGGTGAAGCATTTTTAGACTAACCTCACACCATAGTTTCCATCAAGGGTGCACACCTCAATTTTGGAACATATTTTATATCTTCTCTCCAGGGGTGAAATCCCACGTCTTAAATAGTGGAACGAAGCATTCCTTATAAGGATGTAGAAATCTCTCCCTAATAGATGAGTTTCAAAACCGTGAGGGAAAGTCTAGAAGTGGAAGCCTAAAGAGGACAATGTCTGCTAGCGGTGAGATTTGATTGTTACAAATGGTATCAGAGTCAGACACACGGTGTGCCAATGAGGACGCTGGCCCCCAAGGCGGTGGATTGTGAGATCTAACATCGGTTGGAGGGAGAACACGGTGGACTTGTGCTGTTACAAATGGTATTAGAGCCAGACACCGAGAGATGTGCCATCGAGGACACTGGCCCCCAAGAAGTGGATTGTGAGATCCCACATCCGTTGGAGAGGGGAACACGGTGGCTTGAGCTATTACAAATGATATCAGAGCCAGACACCAAGTGGTGTGCAAGCGAGGACGTTGGGGCAAGGAGGGTGAATTGTGAGATCTAACCTCAGTTGAAGAGGAAAACAAAACATTTTTTATAAAAGTGGGGAAACCTCTCTCTAACAGCCATGTGATGTGTTAACCAGGAGCTGGGACTCCAAGAGGAGTACATTGTGATATCCCACATCGGTTGAAGAGGGAAACGAAACATTCGTTGTAAGGGTACGGAAACCTTTCTCTAATAGACGTTGAGGGCATGGATTGTGAGATCGCACGTCGGTTGAAGAGAGAAACGAAACATCCATTATAAAGATATGAAAATCTCTCCCCAATAGACAAGTTTTATAAAGAAGACAATATCTGCTAGGTAGACTTTGACGGTTACCGGTTTTGACTATGAGTAGAATGTAAAATCAATACCTTAATCTGGCTGTTACATAACTAAGTAAATGATAGGACTTACCTTGGCTAAAAGCAAATCCATAATAGCCTGTCCATGTTGTGAAACAAGTGGCTTGCATGGTATGCCAAGATAACAAAGGGTGTTGGATGATGAAAGTCCCACATCAGCTAATTTAGGGAATGATCATGGGTTTATAAGTGAGGAATACTAACTCCATTGGTATGAGGCTTTTTGGGAAGCCCAAAGCAAAGCTATGAGAACTTATGCTCAAAGTGGACAATATCATACCATTGTGGAGAGTCGTGTTCGTCTAACAAATGGAACCCTTCAGTAGTACCAGTTACATGATGCCATGGTCGCTATCAGAGCAAAAGTTTGAAGAAAACAAACATTTTTATATTCTCCTAAATCAACCCACTACAATATTCTGCATAAATATCATGTTCCTCAAGTTAGAAGCAAGTTATACAAACTGTGACGATCACACCCAAAACCGACATAACTGAAGGGAACATACCACTTGCTTCACCACCAACAAGAACATCGTCCATGTCGAACAATTAAAAAACAAAATAGGGCAAGGTCCGACTGTTTATAAAACTACAGGGTCAATAATGGGCCCATGTATCAATAAAAGAGATTGAATTGGGCCGGTCTGCGGAAATTCACGGCCCAATAGAGAGAAAAAAAAAAGATAAAAAGGGCAATTCATAAAATTAGTAAATAAATTATATTTAGTAATCTTTGGTGATTTTTTTCATAAATTATATCAATTTCAAGAAAATTTCATATTTAAATAAAAAATTTCATTCTTTACAAAATTTATTTTATCTAATCATCTATTCAAAGTGTAGTGAATTGACCTAACCTATGACATATAACCTATGTCGATTGACCTAACTTATTACCTAGGTCGAGTTTCAAATGGATAAGGTTTTGAATGAGACACTGAGACACAAATTTTGAAGGGTTAGAGGATAAGCTTTTGTCTTTTTGTTTGTCTAGGAAAATAAAATAATAATAAAAAAAACAAAACTTTCATTTTCCCACCATGGGACAAACCTTTAATTAGCCCTTACATGTCATCAATATGTCACATCTACTTTGCATTATATAATACGTGAATTGTGAAACCATAGGCTTTCATTTTGATTTTTCCCTTCAATGTGTATTAAATTAGAAGGTTTTATCCCATTTTAATGTAGAGTCAATTACTGTGCGATCCAAACAACTGGTATCAAGAGCTAGATGGAAGTCACCACGATCTGCGAATATGGAAAGTTCAAACATTGGAATTGAGAAGTTCGATGGATCCGATTTCGGTTTTTGGAAGATGAAGATTGAAGATTATCTGTATCAGAAAGATCTTCACGAACCCCTGTTGGGGTGATGCCGGATACCATGACCACAGAGTAGTGGAAGCTCAAGGATGGACAAGCCTTAGAGCTGATCCGGTTGACGCTATCTAGAAAGATGGCATTCAACATCATCAAGGAGAAGACCACGTCAGATCTATTGAATGCGCTGTTAAATATGTACAAAAAAACGTCAGCTATGAATAAGGTGTTTTTTATGCGGAGATTGTTCAAATCTAGTACATACTTTGAGTCATCAATATAAATCCTTTAGTCAGAATTCTCTATCCTGTTCTTTGTGTTCATCTAGATCGAGTGTACGCGTTGTGGTGCGATCCTAACATGAATAAATGACATAAACTTATACACCTAAAAAAGTAAATATATAAGATTCTAAACTTTTTAGACTTTCACTATTGGCATGTCGACATATCCGTTGCCGTTTATATTAGAAATTCATTTAAAAATAATTAAAGTAATGTAAGTTTGTAGACAAAGGTGTAGTTAAATAAATCATAATTAGGGTCAACAAATAAAGAGGTATTGATATAAATTCATAAAATTAACCTTAAATTACAGTTGAAAAAGGATAGTGAGTGAGAGTTTGATGGGTGCGTGTCTGCTAAGCCAACCACCACCGCCTTGTTTTCCGACTGAGATCTTTGTTTGTTTGGACAAAGAAAGCGGGGTTTGGCGTAGTAATTAATAATTACAATAAATTTAAGAAGACATGGAAATCTTTGCAGTCAGAAGATATATATATATATATATTAGTAGGTGAAGGTGAACAAACAAACACGACACTAAAATAAAATCAGAAATCGGGATTCACGTGTCTGCATGTGCATCGGAAGAAGGAGAAGGAGAAGAAGAAGAAGCAGAAGAAGAAGACTTTTTTTTTAATTAGGGATTGATCATTTTTTAAATGGGGTAATGAATAAGATAATTAGGAAGCATGGAGTTGTTTGGAAGTGTGTTGGTGCGAGTCGTGTTGATGTGTTTTGGTGTATGGATTGGATATGATATCCTTTGTTGCGTGTCAAAATGGAGTTGGCCGTATTTCATTGACTAGAAGACTTGGAATATGCTACCCACTTGGAATATGATATCCTTCTCTCTATGTTAACGTCTCTCAATTCCAACCTTTCTGATTCAACTCTTTGAAATTAATGGACCAACATCATAATTTCGATAACTTGGACATTGACGTTGTCCATCTACACTTGGATTTTTCTTCTCTTTTCTTTTCCTCATTTTATTAAATATTTTGCTTTCACATCTATATTTGTAATTTTATTCAAAATGAAACAATTGGAAAGAATAATGAAGTCGTCGTGTTCGTAAATTTCCCCCCAAATTAAAACAAAAATAAAAAGTATGGACATGTTATCCCCCATGATGGACATCATGAAAACAAAAACAAAAACAAAAACCAAAAAGATTTAACCAACGTAACTCTATTGCCTCTAATTTAATTTACTTTCCTGGGAAACTGCTAATTTTGCTGCTGTTGTTGTTGCTGCTTCCGTTGTTGTTTGATGTAGACGTAGTATTGGTGGGGGTGGTGTTATTATTATTTGAATGACCTCCGCCTATGATGGAGGAGATAGCGGCGGCCAGAGCGGCTGTGAAGTTCGGATCCGCGGTGATAGCGGCGGTGGCGGCACTTAACGTGTCGGCAAAAGAAGCACCACTAGGCTGGGATGATGCCGCGGCCGGTTGTGAAATTTGGTGGTGACCCAAATGGGAGGAATTGGCCCCCATCTCATGAGAGAGCTGTAGCCCCGAGAATTTTGATTGATTGTATAGCACTTGCCCCAAAACCTGCGGCAATTGGGCGGCGGCAGACGGTGGTTGCCCGGCTTCGAACGGCACGTGGAAGGGCGTGGGTGCTGGTCTTTGGAACTGCAATGGGTTCGGGGTGTGAGTGAGGTCTAATGTGATGGTTGGAAATGGAGCCGAAGCTGAAATTGTAGCCATGCTTGAGGAACATGGGAGTATGGCTCGAGCCAATAAACTTGGGTTCATTAGATTATGGTCCGCACTTGACATGGACCCTGACAACAACATGCTAGCCGCCGCCGTGGTGGTGGACGCCATGGCCATCGCAGCCGGCGGAAGTGGGTGGTTGTGGTTACCCTCATAGGTTGTTATCAATATAGTCGTGTCTTCAGCGCAACGTTGAACCTAAAAGTAAGAAAAAGAAAATAAATAAGATAAAAAGCTCCAAACTTTGATTAGAAAGAGATGATTATTTTAGTTAAAAAGAATAAAAATACACACTTGTTTCCGAACAGGGCAACCCACTGCCATTGTGCACCGATAATACGCCCGTGGACATGGGTTTCCTTTAGCCATTTTTTGCCCATATTTTCGCCATTGACACCCGTCAGAAATCTGCGTGGATTGAATTCAAATTAAAACCTCACAAAACAACAATTAGGTCCAAAAGGCAACAAGTATACATACCATGGGAGCTTCTGATCGAGCACGGACTGAGACACGGGCTTTTCTCATGGTGGCTTCGGTGGATTGTTGATCAAGTGGTTTAGAAGAAGGGTTCAATCTGGGGGATTTATTAGGACCACCCCACCCGTGAGATTCTGACTCGGGGCTTTCATCTCTACCCATGGATCTTTTGCCATCTGATCGTAAATTGGAATTCTCCTGATCGGAAGGACCCATTTCCTGGTCTCTTCCGGTGCTCTTTTTGGAGCCGGTTTTTGTGTTGTTCAACGGAGACCCAGAACCAGTTCTTTCATCCGATGATGAATGGAATAATTCACGATCGCCTTCGCCTGTCTTCCCACAGGGTCCCAGATCCATAAATTGCCTCGGTATGACCACCTTCCCAACTTCATCATGCTTTTCCGTGGGCTGAAGCATGAGGATGTGTTAATTTAATATTCAATTCAGTTTAATTCATTTGATTTTTTATTTTTATTTTTTAATTTTTTGAAAAGTTACCTGTCGCTCATGACCTGATTCCAAGGCCTGATTTTGTTGTTGTTGCTGTTGCATAAAGGTGGAGATATGCATTTGTAGGGTAGTGTAGTTGTTTCTCACATGGCTTAGCATGTCCCTCAGCTTGTGATTCTCGGCGTTCATACGCTGAAGCTCCACCTGAAGCTGCGCTAGCTGCACACCATAAAAATAAATTCCCCCACCAAAATTCTCAATATAATCCCACCATCCCAT